TCTTGCAGTAGACGACACTGTGCCCTCCACGGTTGGCCTCCTTCTGGATGGCATCGGCGCAGCGGTCAAAGTGGCTGTAGAGGTCCTCGTTGGGGTCATCATAGACAGGGATCCGCAGCTTGGTGATGCCGCTGTTGAATGGGAACGGCTGCTGCTTGGACACATTGATGCAGAGTGTCACCGCCTCCTGCTGGAGGAGCTCGTCGCTGCAGGCTGAGCGGGCGTTACTGATGAAGAGGGCGCTGGTGACTTTGCACAGCTGCAGCATCCTGGTCAGACCCTCACAGGGCTCCTTGATTAATGTCAGATCCGCAGCTATCAGCTACCTGGTCAGAATGGGAGGCATGAGTGTTACATGATGTTTGTTTATGTCTCCTGTCACCGCAAGCTTTTTAGTATGACATTTTGTGTCTGAAACAAAACAACTGGTTTCGTCAAGTTTTTGGGGGTTCAAAAAAACTTCATCTTATCCTTAAATAAAACTATTCAGCACTGCAAATTAAGGTCATTAAGGATTTTTATTTTTTATGTTTAACACTTAACTGAAGAGGAGTCAAATAAACTATGATTTGATCTGAATTCTGCCCTAGAATACACAACACCTCGGATCCCAAATTATTGACCAAATTCGGAAAAAGGTAATTGCCTTTGAAAGAGGATAAAGGATAGAGACAGAACCAAAGGTTCTTTCTGCTCCTAAAGGCTACCGGTTACCATTCATTTTTCCTGTTAGTTGAACTGCTGCTAGTTTTACTCACATGCCTGGAAGATGTCTAGTGCTACAACCACAAATGATCTTGCTCTCGAAATGGAATTGACCGATTCAGATTAGCTAGCCGAACAAATAGAAGGGGTAGAGAGTAGCCGCCTGTGGCTGCCTGTCACAACTCCAGCCCAGCACGTGGATGACATCAATGTAAAAAAAAACGGCGTTTCCCTTTAAGTTTCAAGTAAAGAAACAGTTGTTTTTTTTATACTACCTGGTGGTTAAGGGGGACACTAGCAATGAATGACACCTTCTTCCTGAGGCAGCAAGAAAAAGAAACAAAAAAAAACTCCACTCTCCACAGTAAAATAGAGATTGGTTAAAGAATGACCCAACTCAATGACCCCAAGGCACAGCAATACAATTAAAATTTGGCCCCAACTATGTCAGTGAGGTAAAATGTTTTTGGTTTCTGTTCTGTGAAGCTTTAAAGGAAAAGTCCGGTCAACAAGGAATAATCAATGGATCATTATCTATACCTAAAACGAATATGTTCGCAGGATTTAATGAATTTAGCGTTAATCAGTAAAAAAAATAAAAATAATCTTTTTAATCGCCATTACATTAGTCTGGGACCGGCCTTTTTTGCCCAAATATAGTAACGCCCCACTCACTGCTTTACAAGCAAAATCATTGGGAACTACTAGAAACATCTGCAATCAACAACAATTATTTAAAATTTCCAGAGGACTTCACCATTGAAATTCACCAGCGCTATAGTTAAACTGACAATGCCCACATGCATGGCAGTTGGATGTTGGAATACATCGGGTAAAAGTGAAAAAAATGTAGTTTTTTCACTTTTCCTATTCATGATCCTCTATGGACGGGTTTTTTGTTGGATTACCAACTTGAAAAGGGAGGATTTGCCATCAAACTTCTGTCCAGAGAAAAAACATGTAACATGTAGCCAATATTTGGAAGAAGAATGTTTTCAAGATGACTTGGATAATAGCGCGTTGTGACACACACCAGATACAGCACTGGGACTTGATCAAAAGCCGATATCGCACCATGACGTCACAAACCAGTAGGAGGCAGTAGTATTCTTGTAAAGCACATTCAAATTGAACAGTATGTAATAATTAATATTTAAAGTGCCTTTAGAAGTTTGTATTCTGAATGTGACCCGACTTTTTCTTTAAAACAAACCTGGAAACTTCTGGCTCAGTGTTATGTCTGTATTCAGAAAATATTAATTTGATCAAGCATCAGGAAGTCCTGAGAGACTTCTGGTGCCTATCTCCAGCTGTCTACTGACAAGAGGCTCGGTCCACAGGTCACCACCTTTGCAGCACAACACAGAAACAAACAGGACAAACAACCATTCACACATTCCCAAGTACAATTTAGAGAAGCCAATTAACCTAAGAGTCATGTTTTTGGACTGTGGGAGGAAGCCAGAGAATCTGGAGAGAACCGACGCATGCACAAGGAGAATATGCAAACTCCATGCAGAAAGACCCCAGGCCGGGAATCGAACCTGGAACCTTCTTATTGCAAGGCAGCAGTGCTACTCACTGCTACTCGAAATGAGCACCTTGTGTATATATATATATATATATATATATATATATATATATATATATATATATATATATATATATATATATATATATATATATATATATATATATATTGTATAATTTCAAATAAAACTTATACAATCAGCTGTGTTAGTTTTTTTAATTGCACATTTAAAGAAAAACTTCAATGATGTAGATTTTACCTTTTTTTTTGCAGGAGTAGAATTACTTTATTGCACCTTTAAACTTAAACAGTCTACTGTTTTGCTTGTCAGCTGCTACAAACTCTGGAGATCTCCTAAAAAAATACATCTTAATCTTGTCCTTTTAAGATTCTCCTCTTGTTTCCAGCATTAGTTATTGGATAATTAAGATGCAAAACACCTGCAGGAAATCAATTTATTCAACCAAAACACGTACAGTTACAGCTGCTAAACATCCAAACCTTTGTTTCTTTTCATTGTTACAACAGTGAAGGTTATTGTCCCTTCAATTATGTTTCTGTTTATGTTTAACATTCATGGATTTTGATTTAAATCAACGACATTTTGATACAGTAGATAATGGATAATATCATAATCATTAGCTATGTGTGTAGATGTATTTTCTGATTTTGAAAGGACATATTTTTACATTGACTAAACACCCAACACACACACACTGTTAGAACAGCTCTCTGACTGACCTGCAGCTGGTCTGCAGGATCCTCCTGATTGAATCTGTGGTTGCTTTTTATCACAGGAAGCTTTTCCCTCTTTGCTCCAACAGACCAAACGCTTTGACTGATCGATGTGTTCAGCTCCTCATGACCCCCAACTGGTCGGATCAACATGACACACACACTGTCCCTGCTGCTATATTTACTGCTGCTGACAGCTGCTGCACTCAGGGTCCTAATGCTGCTCACATTCGTGGCTGAAATAAAAACACTGGTGAGCAATCTTTTCTGTCTGGACTTAGGTTTTTCAGATTTTTATGGATATTAAAGAAAGCACATATTTCAAAGGTAAAAAAGAAAAACAAAAGTTGAAAGAAAGTTGTAATTAAAATTATTATAAAAGATAAAAGCATGAAAAACAATCTGCAATTTAGTTTCTGACGCCAGAGTTTAAAGCCAACAAATCAAACAACCTTTGCTGACAAATCAAAAGCAAAAACAATTTGTTTGTGATAAATCTATTAGAAAGGGATTCCAATGACCAGGCAGATTCCAAGGTTATACCAGGACCTCTCAGGTTGGAGGATGGAGGTCAGAGGGCCAAGTGGGGTCTGCATAGAGCAGCCCTGCTTCAGTCAGCGTGCCCCTGTCAGCGTGTGAATGACTGAAGCCCCTCTGCTACCACTTTTTCTAAATGTATATAAAATTTGTAGTAAAATATCAGAGAACAAACATTACCTTTCTCACCTGACATCTTCTCTGTATTTACAGGTTATTTAAAGGTTAAGTGTTTTTTTTTTGTTTTTTGTTTTTTAAGATTCATTTGATCATTTTATCCTATTAGTGACCTGAGAGGCCCAGACAGAAATTATAGTAGCCTGTTTCCATCCAGAACGCTGAGGCTACTTGATTTTTTTCTGGCCGCACAACAAATTGCCCATTGGGAACAAAGATTTATAGTTCTTTCAATACAAATCCATTTTCACAAAACCTTCCAGTCCTTTTAGTGATGGCCATCAACACATTAAGGCCAAACTCATTCTAAACTATCTGAAAGGTTGACAGAAAAAGGAAACATGTTTAGAGTGGAACTGAATCCTGCTGCGTTGTTTTACCCGACAGCAAAGAGGGCGGCATTCTGTCAGATTAGCATACCTCGTCAGCATACCCATAGTCAATACGCATGTGTAAGAGGTCAGATTTGCGTTTATCCCTTTAGATTTGTACGAAAAATAGACTTTAAACTACTTCAACGGGCATGTATCCCTTTTGTCATGTACAAAAAAAAGTAAATGTAAAGTCAGATCACCATATGCTTCAAAAAAACATAATAAAGTGAATATTTAAATAGTTTTTTTGTACATGACTAAAGGATCGCTTGTGTTGAGGTAGTTTAAAGTTTATTTTTTGTACAAAAATAAAGTGATAAACTAGAGTGATAAATGGGAATAAACTAAAGCAGGGCTCTTTAACGTTTTCCAGGCCAAGGACCCCCAAACTGATGGCGAGATGGAGAGGAGACTCCCTAATAATATATTGTATTAAACTGCATTATATCAAACTGGTCCTATAGTCACTCTATTACATATGGAGTCATGTAACGAAAGTTATTTCTCCCTGGCATTCTTATTCTGATTCCGGGTTGATGGGACAGTTGTTGTGAATGAAACGGTGCCCAGCTTGAAAGAGCTCCTGTGTGTCACTGAATGTGTGCATTCATTTCTACAGTGTGTTAAATTCATGTTAATGTGTATATAAAGACTTTTCGATTAGTGGAAAAAAATTGCAGCGGGGAATATAGAAAAGTCTAATCAACCAAAACTTTTGCGACCCCCATGCAGTACCTCCATGGACCCCCTAGGGGTCGCAGACCCCTTGTTGTAGACCTCCTTACTAAAGTAATAAATGGGAATAAACTAAAGGGGTAAATGGGTATTGACTATGGGTATGCTGGTCTGACAGGGGGTGCTCATCTGACAGAACAGCGGTTGTGGAACACAAACAGTTATAAACAGGAATATCGTCAGATAGGACACAACTCACAAACAAATGGAGGAAGTGATTTTATTGGTGGTGCTGAGAGGTTGTCACACATGCAAACAGCGAAGTCCAAGCAGAGTGTTGTCAGCATTTTATTAGCAATCAGAGAAAAGTTTCAAAAGGACGAACTGAAGGACAAACTGAGCTGTTTCTGTACAAGTCCAAATATTCTACACTATGTATTATAATACAGCAGGATGACAGCAGTCACAAGAGGAGCCATGAGTCGGTTACAGCGAACAGTTCTGATCCAGAGTCATTTCCTGCACTGGATTCAGCTCATGCTGCACCGACCTTCCCTCTTTAACATCAAAGTTGCCAAATGCCAAGTTTTACATTTCTTCACTTCAAACAGGAGAGCAGTGAGCTGAATGGTGAAGCCTGTTCTCAAATTCCCTACCATAAGCCCAAAGAATAAAATTTTACATCTGATTTCCAAACCTGGAAGAAGTGCACCACTGTGCTCCAAAGCTAGCTTAACCAACCGATCTTTACCTAAACCCACTGATTTTTTGTCTGAAGATGGGAGACATGGAAGATGCTGTTCATTGGCAGCTAAAGACTAATGTTCCCTGTTAAAGAGGGAATTTGAAACTTCCATTGTTTCTCATTTACAGGTGAACAATCATAGTGTTATAACATTTTTTTATGCTGGAGTTTTCTTCTGGGTAAAGAAAACATACAAAAAAATAAAATCAACATCCACACAAATCAAACCTGAGCATCGGAGAGGTTAAAATATGGAGGAAAACATGGCAAATAAAACAGGAACACAATGTTATACCAGCTTGATGAAAATAAGATGCATTCTAGTTTTATGTAAGCAGTAAAATCAATGTGAAAAAAGTCTGCTGAATATTTATAAGGGCTGAAGAGCTCAAAATCACTCTGTGCTTAACAAACAAAAACTATACTGAACTTTAGGCATTTTATGAGTTTCTGTAAAGCAGAAACGAGAAGAAAATTTGTGAGATTTCACTGAAATTGATAGTTTTCTCTATGAGACAGATTCTAGGAGTTCTTCCAGCTGTGATCCTTTGGACCTTAAGGTGTTCTGATGCTAAAGCAGCTCCAGCAGGTTGAAAACCCAGAGCTCAGGTTGCGCCTGAGAAAAGGTTTATTCTGATCGGTTCTGGCTTGTTCGACTCTGTTACCAAACCAGTTCTTAAAGTGACCAAGATGTTCAGACCAAAACACTGATCTGAACCATTAAATGTGAGAACAAAAACTCAGTTTCACATAGAAAACAAAACAGATTAAAGGTTCCCAAAAATATCACTGAAATTTTGTTAATGTGCCTCCATGCAACATACTGATTGGTTTACCCATTAATCTGACAGTAAAATTCAGCTTTGTATTTTTATTTTTTATTTTTTGGTAATTAGGTTAAAATGATGGTAAATTATAGCATAAATCTGAAAAGCTTTAATCTAATTTCTTTCTTTGGCTGCTGTTTAAACTGGAAGTGAAGCAGAACTTTACATGAATGTCAAGATAGGATGTGAGATGCAGCTCTACTCACGACCTGCAGCAGCAGCTTTAAGAGCCCAGAAAACAAACTTATGTTCATATTTAACAAGAGTATTAAAAATGAGACAAAGCAAAAAAACTATAAAACTTTTACAAAAATCCACAAAAGTAACCAAAAATCATGTCCTATTAAGAAGCGTCTATTTAACATCTTGCTTGTACCTAAGATTTAATTCATTTGACATAAATTTAATTTATAAAATATCTTCCAGTAATAAAAAGTTGCATTTAGGTATTTTATCCACAAGGGGGGGGTATTTATTTTCCCAGAGCTTAGCTGCCCCTCATCTTAAATGGTAAACAAATTTCTGTTTGGCAGATTTCTTATTTTGGCAACTGGGGGTGTGGCCCTCAAACAATAGAGTCATTTTAGATGTAAAGGATTAATTACAAAATACTAAAATCTGTTTTATGGGCTTTTAGGAATTTAGAAAAAAAACTGTCAGGTTGCAAGCTGCAGCTTCATATTAGTGTAAACAGACACATCTTCAGGTCAAGAGGTGCCATCACTGTCCTAAGAACTACAGTCTGCTTCCTGATCCGCATCACCTTCATCAGACAAACTGAGCCCACCTCGTCTGTTTGAGGCCGTTCAGAAAATGTTACTCACTGCAATCTTTGGTAACTCACTGTTAGGATGTTTTAGTTTTATAAAACATTCAACAGACAAGTGATGAATTAAAGGAAAGGCATAAAAAACATCCTCTGCATCCTGCAGGCATGCTCAGACGTGGATCCACCTCTTAACTTATAGTTTAAGACTGATAACGTTCATCACTCTCAGTTCACCGCGGAAAAAAACGTGGAAATGTGGATGGAATAAAGTCTGCTTCTCCACACAGAAACATTTCCTTTTAAGATTTAGTTTTGTTGGCCCAAAACTTTCTGTTAAGCATAGTGCAGACCTCAAGTCAGAACTGAGTGTTAGTGCTAAGAAAAGTTGGATTTTTCAAGTTTCTAGGGAGGAAAATTACAACAATGTCACTAAATAATAGAATTTCACTTTGAAAAGTCAGAGCTTGACAGATTACCCTGACAGTCAGTATCCAATATGGCTTCTTAGCTTCTTCTTTTATCGATTTATTTTTCTGATATAAAATATGTGGCACTGTATAATATCTGTATGTGAACATGTGCCTTTAGTGTTTGAGAGCATAAAAATGTAGAGAACCATATTGTTATCGCTTTGTATTGCTAACTGCAGCACAGATAAATCAAATGTGGAGCAGTTTTACAGAAACATTCTGGATCAGACTTCAATTTCCTGGTTTACTATAATTAGTCACTCGCCTGCATCTCTGACTATCTGCTCAGAGCTGATGTCAGGTTCAGCAGAAATCTAAAGCTCACTTTGAGGTCCGAGCTCACTAAACCTCTGTAGTTACTGCGCCCTGCCTGTAGGCGGCACAGCTTGATGGTTTTACATGGCAGAAACACAACTCCTTAAATGATTAAAACAGACCAAGTATTAATTTTCCAGACAGATGGTGGGGTGGGGAGAAAATTTCAGTGAAGGCTGTAGATGTGTATAGAGGCAGGTGCATTTGTCAGATAATGAACATGAATGGAAGCGAATATGCAGGGCATACATTTGGTGCAGGTCTGCAGAGATTAATCCTTCCTGTATAAACAGGAAGTGACCTGCTCTATGATCTGACCTATCTCTCTCCTCTATTATCTGTGCACGTTTAAAGCAGGAAGATTCGGAGTCTGCACGTGAGGCTAAGAAGGCTGAATATACAATCCTGCCGCCGGACTTGGATATACTGCAAGCCTGTCTTCTACGATACATCATCAACTGAAGGGGAAAACTCTCGCTGAAGGAGCAAATAAATCCCTTTTAATTATGGATTTATTTCCTGCATCTGAGATGAACGTCACCAGAGGGAACATACAATTAGGGCTGCGACAGAATCACGATGTATCGCAGAGGGATCGTCCCGATATATCACTGCCTCCACTGTTGCCCCGGCAGCAGGGTGCTCAGCTCGCTCTTCAGTCATGCAGTAAAGACAATGCAACGTTATGAAGACCTAAGCTTTGGGGTCCGACCTGAGGCACTAAGACCCACAGATGGCGGTCAGGCGGGGTGGAAGCGGTGCTGCAGCTCAGGGCCAATCAGGAGTGGTCCATGGGTTCGCTGGAAGTGCTCTGTCCAGCGTCCTGGCTCTCCATCTCCTCTGGTTCCCCCACCTTGTCTTCCAGTTTGCCCGCTGCAGCGGTGGGTTGGTGAGCCGCAGTGGAGGGCAGCTGACCAGCGCCACTGTTGGTCCCACCAGTTCGCTCCTGACTGGCTCCGCCCACAGCGGCACTTTGCTGCTCCTTCAGATGGCGCTCCATTGAGGCCTGGATTGAGGAGACCATTTCCTGCAGCTTCCGGCGCTGCTGCTCCATCAGGCTGGGGTCAAGGGCGCGGCCGTCCTTGGTGGTGACGAAGCCAGGGGCCATGCGCACCAGCTCTCTGGTGGCGTCCTCAGGAATGTCCGACAGGTCCGGGGGTCCTCTGGAAACACTGGCACTCAGGTCTACGCCACTACTGTGCTGCCGTGTGATTGGCCGATGCTCTGGAGGGGAGGAGCCCCCGGCGCTCCCCAGAGAGTGACCTTTACCCTGGAAGGCGGTGACGCTCTGAAGCTGTTCCTTCTTCCGTACGACTCCTCCGCTCCCCAGCCGCAGGATACTGTGGGACGGACTCCCCTCTCTGCTGCCTCTAGAGACCGCCTCGGAGCGCAGCTGCGCCACGGCCTCCCTCACGAGCTCCTCCACATCGGGGCCGACAGGAAAGTGACCAGCGGCATCCACGCAGAGCTCCAGACGCTCCTCTGCGGCGTTAAAAACAAATGTTTTCCCCGTCAGGTGAGGCAACGTGCAGTGCTTCCCGTCCATCAACCCTGAAACAGACGCACATCCAAACTGCTCAGGAGCAACAGAGACCATAATCATTTTTCAAAATTATTATTTTTTTATTTTATTTTATTCATATAACGGATTAAATGTTTAATTTTTAATGCACTTAAGAATTCAAAGCAGTTTCTAACATCTAATATGACTTTACGATTCTGCTCTAAAGGTCCTTCAGGGCTGTTTTCTTATGCCAAATCTTAGATGTTTAGATCGTCTATGCTAACTTTACAGTCATCACAACAACAGAATCCTCCATGAATGTAACCAAGCCTTAAAATGAAGCAATGGCATTCATGGTTCTCTTATTTTGCATATAACATCTAGATCGTTCTGGAGCTCACTTGCTGTCCTTGCTTTCTTGCTCTTAACTGATACTCTGAAACTCTGAAAACTTGTTTTTGACTCCCCCTCCCACTAAAGCAGGTTTTCTCCTTCCAAGATCGTTGCTGTGTGAATGTGACAAACCTCCTGTTGACAAAGTTTCTTGTTTGCAATATTTTCCACTTGCTTAACTTAATACAAACGTTTGAACATTTTCATCAAAAGCATCAACATAACACATCCCCTGTCATAATGACAGATGGAGGCTGTGAGCATGCTCAGTATAAGAACTTGGTTCTAATGCTTGAACCCTTTTTTCATCTTATTTGTTTAAAGCCCCCTGATAGATCTGACTAAAACCTTTTTAATTACCCCCTTTCAGAGACATAGACAGGTGGGCTCATTCGTCTGGTTCAATTTGCCTGTTTTCTAAGCCAAAACAAAGCTTTTTATTGGTCCACTCTATAAAGCCTCAAACTCAATGCTACTTCTGAAACTTTGAATTGAAAAAGCTTCCTGGATAGGAAGAGAAACATCTTCAAACTTGGAAACAAAGTCCAGTGAATTGTTTTTTAACTTTTTTTTTTTGGAATGACTATGACCTGGAGGACTGAAAATCTTCACCAGAATCAGACTAAAACATTCGTCAAGTATAATGAACAAACAGGTTTTCATTTTGGGGGGTTCGGCAACATCTGAAGCAAAACAACTGAAGCAGAATTCAAACAAATTCAAGCAGAAAACGAACTTACCCATGTCTTTCTTGACAATATTGTAGAAGACGCCGCCCTGCTGGAATAGGTGTGGGAGCTTCTTTGCATACGACCAAACGTCCTCACCTGGAAGAAGGAAGAGTACAACAGTTAGCGTGGAGCTTAAAGACACACTGAGACCTGAAACCCAACCCAAACGTTTAGACACGTCTTCTGGGGACACTTTAACTAGGATTATTTTAATTGAAGCTCAAACTGAGCCTGGTTCTGTTTCTATTGGAGGTTTCTTCAAGCTGAATGACTGGGACCCCTCCCGACTTGCTTGCTGAGGACTAATACCTGCTGCACAGCCAGTGAAGTCTGGATAAACCTCTGTGAGTCTGAGAACACAGCCTGCTTAGAAAAAAGTGAGTTCAAGCAGAACCTTGAAGCCACACGTGACCATTTATTTCAAAAAGGCTTTACTGTACGGTGAACAGCGGGAATTATGTGAAGTTTATATGACTAAATCTAACGGGGTGAAATTGGACCATTTTGTGTCACCGTACAGTTCAGCCATAAGTATTCACATCCCTGGCAGAACTAAGATTTAAAGCCATCTTTAAATTTTACTAGAAATATTTTCCTAGAATCATTCAGAGAAATACATTTGTTATTTAAAAGGAAAATAACGTTAAATCCTAATCTGATGGGGGTGTGAACACCTAATCCCAAATTTAATTCAGTTTTTTTCCATGCATCCCATTTCATTTACAGTGTACCAGTCCAGTACTGCACTTTTGATGATTAGCCTATTTTTACATGGTTTTAAATCTTCCTTTCGTTTTTACAAAACGCTACAAATTGGGGCTGTGAAATATGGCTAAAATATGCATTAGGGTATGAAAATGTATAAGCAGTCGATATCAAAAATGTTTGATAAGGGTTTTGTTTATCTATTTATGAGAAGTGTTGAGCTATCTCTATAGTTATGGCCCTATATAAATAAACCGAATTGAATTGAATGGAATAGCAAATCCTTGAAATGTCACATGACAGAGCAGAACCCTCTGTATGAGTGCATAAAGATGCATGTTTACTTCAAAAACTTGAAAAAGCTTGACAAACTTTTTCTCACTTTAAAGAATGTTCGTCCCAAGATAGCAAAACGTGTTACTGCAGCTTAAGATTTCCAGGGTATGTTGCGTGACTAAAAACTTTAAATCAATTTGACTGGACGATCTGGTGAACTGTAAAGTGTCTTGAGATGACATGTGTAGTAAATTGGTACTATATTAATAAAGATAATGGAATTGAATAAGTGCCAGGGGAAAAACCCTGGGTTTAAGCTACCGTATAATCATGTTTAAACATTTAACCTCTAGAAATCAGACAGCATGCAGGGGACACTTTCCCCTGCCTACATGCCCCAGAATGCAATGTGGTTCTGGATCAGAGTTCTGGACATTATTTTAAATTTTTTCTATAGATATTGATTTATTGCCCATCTCTACTATTCAAATATATGCAATTTTATCTATATATATGTTCCTTATAATTATTATTCAACAACCTGAATTGTTTCTAAATCTGAAAGTATGATTTGTATAAAATTAATTGGATATCATGAAAGTAGAAATGGATTGAATCTATACATTCAATTAGTGCCTTAAGAAGATGTTTTTTTTTTTTGTAAATTTGGAATTATGAATATAAATGTGACAATTAAAGCCAAAACCAAACAAATCAAGTTCATGACTAATTGTATTTAATTCAGTTGATTTCAGCAGCTGAGTGCCTGGGCTGGTTTAAAGCTGCTGTCCTGATGCTGCTTCTTTTGACAAACATCCGGTCATTTATATGTAGGCTATGTGAAGGACATTTGAGCTGGGAGAGGGAATCTTCTGCAGAGACGCTTCTTCAAAAAGTCTGACTAAATGTGAACTTATGAACATTTTGTTTCCTTTCGAATCAACCAGTCCTCTGGAATTTTAAGATGCCAAACAACTGACTTAATCAGCTGAAATCTAGTTTTTGGAATTCCAGCATGGCAGATGTTTGTACCATGTACCAAATGAGTATTGACTAATTTATCTAAAACATTTAACTAATCAGAGGAGCAGATGTGATCCAGCCATGTTTTACTCATTTGTTGCAGGTGTGAGCAGAGTCAGGACAATCAGCAGGACCTTTTTAACCTCCCGGTCTGGACTTGAACTGGGTAACGATTACATTGGAGGTGTAATAGCTGAGGTTTAGTGGATGTGCCGACAATCAGCAGTTTTAAGGCGTTCCCTCGTCAGACAGAGGCAGAAGGATTATTGACAGGAAGTGCAGCATCAGGCGCTGCGCAGAGCTCAGAGATTATAACCTTCCTGAAAATCAACTGTCCTGTTTTTAATCGGACAGCCCCGGTGCCCTTGGACCTTTTGGGCAGGTAACAGAGCGAGGGGACAAGATGGCTGAGTCAGCACATTCACCAAACCATGTGGTGCTTCTGGTTCCATTCAGTGGATTGGGAGTCTGACAGCTAAGTCAGCTGCTAGTTTGATGGAAACCTGTGTGCAGGGGGCAACCAAGCAGAAGCCAGTGTGTGTGTGTGTGTGTGTGTGTTTGTGTGTAGCTGCACATCTGTACTACAGAGCAAAGTACGCAGCTGATCTCAAAGGATGAACACTGCAGCTTAAGTTCATCTACTGTTACATGTGGCATGACTGAACGATGGAGAGAAACAGGCGTAAAGAGGAAGAGTCTGCAACCAGAAAAGACTGAATTTCTGATATTTTAGTGTTAATTTGATAAAAGGTTAACATCTGAGAAACAGAGTAGAAATATAACATAAACCCCAACATTTAGGCCGGTTTTAGGACTTCGACCAGGTCTAAACGGGCTTAATAATAACACTTTTTTTTTTAGATGTGACAGAATAATAATTATTACTATAATTATAATAATAAAAACTTTTAGATGTGAGACGGAATAATAATACAATAACAATAATATTGATCATTTTCAGATGTGTACTACAGCCCCCCTCTCCCCCACTTCACACTGCCGATCAGCTGGCTGAACATTTCTTCTTCTATGAATGATCTATCAGGATTGAGGACATTTTTCCTTTCCTTTCTTTACTTCTGTAGTTTTCCAGACTTCTTGTATCCTTCTACCTTATAAAATAAAAAATCTTATAAATCAGTCTTAAAAACTGTTTAGGAAAGTAAATTTCCACTAAAATTGAGCAATGTATTTGTACCTACCTCATACAGCTCCCTTTATTGAAGCTGTATGATGATTTCTATAAATGATCTTAAAAGTTTGCCAACCGCAGCTATAAACCAAAACTATTTCTGTCTTGCAGGAAGTAGAATATTCTCACGCTCCTAAAATAATGGCCTACGTCATTTCAGTAAACATTTTTTAAAAAGTCACACTTCATATAGGCCAGTATTAAAGCAAGGCTTTGCTTATGATGAGATGATTTAAGAAAGAATATAATCTTTGGCTAAAAATGAAGGTTGCAATGTTAAAATCCCAACCAGCTAAGATTCTGTGACACGGTGAAACATCCAATCGGATGAAGGATATTTCAGTTTAAAGCAACCAACGTGTCACATTTCTAAACTTACTCATCAAGGTTGCTAGGAGACAGAGGGAGGACATCTCCAGGTCTATGCTCTCCTGGATTTCCCGGTTGCTCATCCTGCTGGACGTCACAGCGTCGTTGGTTTTCACCGAGTGCAGGCCGGAGTGTGAGCTGGACGCCCTGGTTATGGAGGCCCCCTGGCCCCTGTCGTCGGGGGCCCTCAGTATTTCCACCGTGACCCGGTCCCCATGCTGCAGGGACACCGGCTCATTCTCATCGCCATCCTTTGGTGGAAGCAGCTCTTTGGGGGGAAAGCCATAGCGAATGCACTGCTGCACTGGCGGAACGTCCAGCTGGTTGGAGATGCTCCTCTGCAGGTCTGAGAAGGTGGTGTGGGCCGGCAGGGTGAGCATAGCCTGCCTGCCGTCGCTGGTGGTCACTCGGATCTTCTTCTCCTTGTTGGAGGAGGAGGAAGGGGAGGAGGTTTTAGTGGGGGTGGCGGGAGCTGAGGAGGAGGAGGTTTCTGGAGAGCCGCCGGGGGAAGTTGACCGGCCTTGTCCTTTCTGCTCGTTTTTCAGTTTGTCAGTCCGTCTCTTCTGAGTGACGAAGGCCTGCTCACTGATGCTCTGCTGGATGTTGCGCTCTGCCCGGCTCATTGTTAGCTCCTCCTTGTGGAGCGTCTTGGCTTTCTGACCAGTCAGGATGATCTTTGTGGGCAGCTGCGGGTCCGCCGCAGGCTGAGTCTCCACGTCGTCAAGACGCTGGGCGTGGGCCCCGTCGATAGAAACCGGGTTGTACTCGTCAGGGTTCTTCTTGGCCGTGTGGTGCAGGATGGTGTTGACCACCTTCTGCACTAGGATCTCGCTGCCGAACTCTCCCGGAAAGTGCTTGGTGACCAGCTTCATGGCGACGTCGTAGACGTTACTGTTTAGTGTCGGGTCCATCTCATACTGGAACCAGTACACCGTCTCACGCACCACCCGACCCCCCCACTCCAAAGTGATGGGGAACGCTTCAGGCAGGTTGTCGTATTCCTTCCCCTCCCAGTAATGCTTAAAGCCACAGCCACACTTCCCACCCTGGGACCGGGTGTTGGTTCTGTCCCCGTCCAGGTATACCACCGACCCATTGCCGCGGATGTGCCGCACCGATGTCCCGTGACACCAGTTGCAAGTGTTCAGGGAACTCAGTTTGTAGTCGGGGACCAGGACGTCCCTCTGGGGGTCGTAGGAGCAGACCACGTTGCTGAGGGGGAAGCTGTAGTTCTTGTCCGGCCGCAGCTGTCCATGTGTGGATTTAGCCAAGTTGTAGAGCTTCCCTCCAGGAAGCAGCCACTCAGACGGGACGTGGAGCTCAGAGAGAGCGCCACAGATCAGACAGCGGTGCAGACGGTTCTCCATCACAGATTTCTTGGCCGCTTCCGTCACCTCCTCGGGTTGGACGCCGATCACTCCAGTGCGCCTGTATACGTACTGGTGTACGTCAGCAACTAATGAAGGGTGGATGCTGTGCTTCTCCATGAACACCTCCTCCATGGCGTTCACCAGCCTCAGCAGGTATTTATCCTGCAGGCTGCGGTCGCCCCCGATCACACAGCTCCCGTCCGGCTCCAGCTTGATGTACTTCCTGATGAGCTCCTGAGGGACGCCCCAGGCTTTGGGCAGCATGCGAGGTGGCAGCTTGGGGAGGACGGTGTTCTTGATTCCCACCAGAGGAACATAGTGGTTTCTGCCTGAGCTGCTCCAGGCGATGCAGATGGGTTTGTTTAGCTTCCCGTCTTTCCCTTTGCACTGCTCCTCGGGTACAAGCCCAGGTAAGAAGGTGGCTGAATAGTCTCCAGAGCTCCTCATCCCGCTCATGGAATCCAGCAGGACGATCGGCCGGTGGAGGACGTTGGCCAGGCCAAATATGTGGATGTTTCGCAGTCCCAGGGGGACTCCTTCAGGAGGGATGAACAGGGGGTCGCACTCGTTGATGATGTCCTCCCACTCTGCAGCATCGATGAAGTCCTGGAAAAGGTTCTTGTAGCGGTCCAGGTTCTGCTTGAAGTTCTGCTTAAGGTTTTCTCTCAGCGCATGCCAGAAAAGCTCCCTTCCCACCAGTGCTCTGGAAACGGCGTGGACCAGACAGTGTCCATCTCCGTCCACGTGAACCGGAATAAGACACTCTCTGTTTCCATTGGCCTTCTTGATCTCCTCCAGGGTGTCATGGAGGTAGATCAGGCTCCCTGAGCGGTCTTTGCCATAACCCATGGTGCCTACATGGTCCGGCTCTATCAGGAAGGCACGGTCCCCCAGCAGGGAGCAGTCAAAGATCTCCCCTTGGTTCATGTCATTCAGCAGTTTGGCCTTACCGGTCTGTTTGTCCATGCCGTAGCGGGTCAGCACCGGGGACAGCAGCTTGCAGTGGTAGTTGGAGAGGCCCATCACCTTCACCAGCTCGGTTCCCTTCTTCGGGGCCCCGGTGACGCCGAGCAGGGCGTTTCTGAGCAGGTTGTGGAGCACCACGTCCGGGTCGGTGACCTCCTCCACGTTCAGCAGGCCGCTCTGATCGTGCCGCTGGCCGCATTCCGTACACTCGATGCTGATGGAGCCATGAGCGGGGAAGAAGAGCCGCGCCTGGCATTTTGGATCCGGGCAGGTACCGCACAGAATGCGCTTGTCTTTCTTCTTGGAGCCCTGCAGCAACGACATTTTGGAAAAAGTGAGCTAAAAATATCTCCAAGCTTCACATAACCATGATAAAAGGCCCTACGGTAGGCTGTCAGATCAGCTCCGGCCGCTATAAGAACTGTTTTGCCAGAATAACACAAGAACAACACGGAAGCGGTTGGCTTTTTCCTTTAGCAACTGGCCGTTGCTAAACGTCCATACGTAAGCACGTAGAGATTCTGGGACTTGTAGTCCTAATGAACAACACTCACCGAAATTCAAACAGCCGTTTTATCTTTTAATAAACCAATTTTGTTTTGAAACAGTACAATATTGAATGAAGCAAGACAATTACACCTTTAATTAAAATATAATCAGAATACACAGTAAACATTTCCAAATAGTTTTTTTGGGTTGAAACAATTTCCCAGAATGCACCGAGGTCTGTTGTCGTTTGGTTGTATAAGGAAGTGGATTTAGGCAGACTACTTGCAATTTACGAGAAGCATCTTCTTCTTCTTATGGGGTTTTATGGCGGTTGGCAGACTTGTGAATTGTGCATTACCGCCACCAACTGATATGGAGTAAAGCAAGAAAACAGAAAACGATTCACCCCCCCCCCCCCCCCCCCAAAAAAAAAAAAAAAAAAAAAAAAAAAAAAAAAAAAAAAAAAAACCTGTGTAACTTAAACCAACATAATACTAAATCACATTTGCCCATATAATTTTTAATTTACTCTAGGTCATCTTAACTCTGCCAGTTTCTGATGGTCCCATCGGTCCTCCCATCATACTTCCAACCATCTCCCAGTTCAAATCTTTAATGTCCAGATATTTTTCTGCAGCCTTCACTATTATTTTGATTTTTTCCGTTTTTTTTGTTGTCTGTGCAGTACAATTAATTACTTCTACCATGAAAAGAACAAAATTTGTCTTTTTAACAATAAGTGAGTCTTCATCAATTTTTTGATTCTCTAGAGGTTTGGAATTTGCCGTGTGTTGAACTGTAGGTTTGGGTTTTTCTGACTGAGATGGGATCCTTTTTGCAGCTTCAGCGTAGGTTATTCCGAGCTCAAATTTCATTTTTTTAATTTCCTCAGACCTTTTGCTTGCTTCACAGCCGCGATAGGCAGCAGTATGTTCTCCACCACAATTACAGCATTTTATTTTAGCTTCTTTTCCACATTTTCCGTACTCATGTTCTCCTGCACACCTTCCACACCTCTGTTTCCCTTTACAAACTGCTGCAATGTGACCGAATTTTTGGCATTTGAAACATCTCAATGGTGGAGGATTGTAGATTTTGACATTATAGCTTATGTAACCGATGAATACTTTGCTTGGTAATTGCTCTTCCTCAAATTTAATTAGCACTGATAAACTGTCAGATCTTTCTCCGTTTCTTGTTGTTTTTAACCGTTTTACTTCTTTTACTTTTGCACCGCTTATGTTTTCCAGAATCTCTTTTTCAGAAATTTTTAGAGGAACTCCTCCAATGACTCCCCTGCTGATCTTTTTGTTCTCCATTAGGCTGCACTGAACTCTTATCCCGTCAATTTTGTTGATCCGTATTGCTTTGCCTTGCTGGGCGCTGTCTCTGCAGTTAATTAGCAGGTCTCCACTGTACAGAATTCTGGCACCTCTGACTTCTCCGACAAGTTTATTGATGGTTTTTGTTAAGTGAACCGGATTCCAATTTGTAAAAGAGTCTGCCTGATTAACGACTTTGAATATGACTTTGAATTCATTTTGTTGTGCTGTGGAATGTATGGAATGATCATCACTGGATTGTTCTGAACTAGATTCCCCTTGAACTGATCTCTGTTTTTTCCGCTTTTTCTCATTTTTTGATGTTGCTATCTTCCAACCTTCATTGTCACTATTTCCCTCTTCCATCCCACAAGAATCGCTTCCTGTTTCCTCACTACTCACGGCCCAAGACATTTCTCCATAAGCAGCTTCAAAACACGCGCCATGCACCAAACGACCATCCACATGCCAAAAGGGCTGAAAATCATCGATCAAAATAGAAGGTCAAACTAAATCAAACTAGATGCAGGAAACTACGAGAAGCATCCTGCTGCAGCCTGCGGGAAGGCAGGGCTTGACATCAAGCCCCGCCCACATCAAGGACAGCCATATTGGAAATTCTTCTTCTTCTTCTTTTCATTAATGGCGGATTGCAAGTAACTTTTAGGTGTATACCGCCTCCTACTGTACACGAGTGTGTAGCAACATTTTCTCTACATTTATTAAATTCTATTTATTAATCTATGTTTCCTTCATTTCCTAATATTCCTTTAAGACTCACTTCTTTTCCTGTCCTTCCAACAATTCTTTTCAGATTTTCTCTTTCAGATTCATATGTTCTACAGTTCATTAATACATGTTCTACATTTTCTTTCTCTCCACATCCTTCACATTTAGCTATCATTACTTTTCTTCCCTATTAAATGTAAAGTGTCATTTAAATAGGTGTGTCCTACTCTTAATCTAGTCATAATTATTTCTTCCCTTCTGTTTCTCTCGTCAATATTTCTAATTAGTACTGACTTTTGCACTTTATGTAATTTTCTCCCTTTCTTATCTTCTTTCCACCTTTTTTGCCATTCTTTTATTTCTTTCATTTTAATACATGATTTCCCTTCCCCTTTCCCGAAAGGAATTATCATCTTCATTGTCATTTCTAAAGCCCTTTTTGCTAATTTATCAGCTTTTTCATTTCCTTTAACCCCTTCGTGAGCTGGAACCCAGCAGAACCAGACATTAATGCCACCTCTATATAATCTAAATAAACTATGCATAATTTCTAATACTAACTCTTTCCTATTATTTCCTTCTCCCTGGATACTTTCTAACACTGCTTTAGAGTCTGTACATATCACCACCCTGTCTGGTCGAACCTCCTCTACCCACTGTAAGCTTAACTGCCATCCCATATTGGAAATGCTGACCGCTCTTGCCTTTAGGCGCTGGCAAGAGAAATGGCCAAAAAAATGTGTTATGTCACATGGTATGTCTGTCACATGGTATGTCCTTTTTATTTTTAAATCTTTATTAAATTTTCAGATGTTAAAATAACATTAGTAACAAACAGTCTAAAATAAACAGCAATAAGGAATTATTATGAAGATGTAATTATCTATCCTCAAACCCTATGAAAAACAAATGTCATAAAATGTAAATTAAATTAGTAGTTTAGAGACAAATGTACATTACATTGAGTACACATTTATCTATCCAATAATTATCATACACGCACACTTATCCCTAGAGTGGTGTCGTTAGGGCTGGTGCAGTGGATTCTGGACAGATTCCTAGTCCATCGCAGATTAAGAAAAAATTTATCCATCAAATTTCTGACCCGCTTAATCCCTCATGGGGTCGCGGGGGTTGCTCGTGCCTATCTCCAGCGTTGATTAAGAAAAGCAATATAACCAAATACTTGCTGGTGCGGAAGTTCAAATTATCAGTAGACCATGCATGCACCACTTAAAAAGTTTACAGTAAGAGCAAACAAAGCCCCATGGATTGATGATGAGCTTAGACAGAGCATGGCACATAGAGACTCCCTGAAAAAAGAAGCCTGTGTTTTAGGCAAAGTGGCATTTCCTGTGAAATGGAAAGCTTATTGTAAAGAGAGAAATAAAGTGACTATGCTCAATAGAAAGAAAAAAAGGGATTATAGAAAGTCGATAGATCAAAAGAAAAATGATGGTAAACAACTGTGGAATACCTTGAATGAGTTAATGGGCAGAAGCAAAATTAAGACACCAGCATTTTTAGAAGTGAATGGACTTTTTTTAACAAAAGGTAAAGATATTAGAGACCATTTTGGTAAATATTATTATGATAAAATATATAAGTTAATGAATGACACAAAGTGTTACAGCAATCTGGGCACTTCATCTCAAATAATCAATGATTTGATTGTCAAGAACAAAAACTGTCATTTCACATTTAAATTGTTAAGCACAGATAAAGTTAAAAGTTTGCTTCTAAGTTTACATGAAAACAAACCATCAGGAATGGATGAGATTGATGGCAGATTACTGAAAATGGCTGCAAGTGTGATAGCTTCACCAGTCTGCCATTTGTTTAATCTAAACTTGACAGAAGGGGTCTTCCCTCAAATGTGGAAATCTGCTAAAATACTTCCTCTTTCAAAAACTACCAATGTTAGCCTCTCTGCAGTCAATAGTAGGCCCATTAGTATTCTGCCTATACTTAGTAAATTGCTGGAAAAGGTTGTTTTTGGACAGATTTCAACATATTTAAACTGTAACAAATTGATTTTTGAATCACAGCATGCATATAGGGAAAATCACTCGACATGTACAGCCCTTACAGAAATGACGGAGAATTGGTTGTCTAGCATAGACAAAAAACTGATAGTTGGTGCAGTGTTTTTGGATTTTAGTGCTGCATTTGATTTAGTGCATCATCAAATGTTACTTGAAAAGTTATCGGCATACAGATTTGGTGCCACACCTCTGAAATGGATACAAAACTATTTAACATCTAGATCACAATGTGTGTTTTTTAATGGAAGCTTCTCATCACCTCAACAAATGCAGTGTGGTGTACCACAGGGCAGTTGCCTAGGACCATTGCTTTTCTCAATTTTTATTAATGACATGCCATTTGTCCTAAAAAGGTGCAACATAACTCTTTATGCAGATGATTCTACACTTTACTTTGCAGCAACAAAGATATCAGAGTTAAAAGAAACACTGCAGTTGGATTTGCAGGTGCTTCTTGCCTGGATTAATAAGAACAGACTAACCTTGAATGTTTCAAAGACAAAGTGTATGTTATTTAAAGCTAGGCATAAAAAATGTGATGATAAACTTGATATTGTGCTAAAGGATATGGACATAGAACAGGTTCAAGAGGTGAAACTACTTGGAGTAACATTTGATGAGCAGCTATCCTGGGAAAAACATATAGATATGGTGGTGAAAAATATGGGAAGAAATATGTCTTGTATTAAAAGATTTAGATCTTTCATGACCTCAGCCTCTAGAATTTTGGTGGTTAAATCGTTAGTGCTGTCTCACCTGGACTACTGCTCTGTGGTGTGGTCAGGTGCAGCTCAGAAACATCTGGCTAAATTACAAACCGCACAGAACAGAGCGGCCAGGCTGGCACTGGGACTGCGCTGTGTGTGGACTCAGAGCTCTGCTGAGCTGCATATGCGTCTGTCGTG